GAGGGTTATTTTCCGGCGGCGGAGGAAGGGCGGAGATCGGGATGTACATGTGGTCGACGGAGAGGTGGTAGCGGCCGGGGCGGCGGGGGAGGAGGAGGGAGCGGCGGAAGGACGGCGGCTGGGAGAGTGGCTCCGAGCGCGCCATCTCAGCCCATGAGATGAGAAACATGTTGGCCGAGTGGGCGTCGGCGACCTGGTGGGCGAAGGTGCACGCCACCACAAGTCCGCCGCGGTTCAGATGGGTTACCTGTCATAGTGTCATCAGACCCCACTCAAGTACTCAACTATATGATTATTGCTATTAGAATACTTTAATTACTTTTTCTTTTCTCCTAATATTTGTTTGAAATTCATTTTCCATAATTTTTCGAAATTTATGTGGTCAGGAGAAAAGAAATGGCCATTAAAAATAAGAAGCTTAATCACAATTAGCATTAATGCTCCCTACCACGATGGACACGTGTTAATATGCGCACCGTTTATGTGGCATGCACACATTGGTGATGTAATTTTTAAACATATTAACATCACCAATGCGTGCACGTCACATAAACGGTGGATATATTAACATGTGCTCATCGTGGGTAAGCGAGCATTACTAATTTTTTTACATAACACTCACGTTAAATGGGTCATACCAAAAATGTAAAATCAAGTGAATATATTTCATTTGTGTATATATACACCTCCATTTACATTTATTATGTATTTATAATATTTTTTTTTAAAAAAAAATGCAACTCATTTTTTTCTCACTAAGTACACACACTCACCTGAACGGCAAGAACCCCGCGCCTCCTCACAGGCACAAGCTTGCCGTCGACGCTCTCATCCGGTCGATGGAAATCAAGCTCCTCCAGCGCCACGTCAGCGCGCGCCTCCGAGAAATCCACGCCGCGGTTGTTGCACAGCAGCTCCGGCTCGCCAGCCCCGTTCTTCACCAGCTCCCCGCCGAACGCGTAGTACGAGACGAGCGCCTGCGCTAGTGCCTTCTTCAGGACACCGGCGGCGGCCGCGGCCGCGCAGCCGCCGTAGCAGAAGAAAATCCCGACATCGACCGGCGGCAGAAGCAAGTCGAGGTTGGAGAGCGGCAGCCAGTGGTCTTGCATAGGTAGGGCCGCCGCCACAACCTCGGTCTTCGTCACCTTCACCTCAAAATCTGTTTTTCCGTACATTTTTTTTTTCTTTTCTTTTTTATTTATTTTATTTTATTTTTGAATGGTTTATTATTAACCAAAAGATTTTTGAAACTGAAAGGACTATGGCTTCCAAGGGGTACACAGCGATAGTATATATAATGTGTGGACGCTAGGTTCTGACTGATTATACAACTGTTAAATAATACTAAGTAATTATTAAATAGGCGTTTTTAATATAAAATATATTATTTGCAATTCTCCTAATTTGATTTTAATTTTAATTTTTTAATGATTTATAAACAAGATTTGATGTTGTGATGTTGATTTCTAGAAAATCGTCAAAAAATGATTAAGTTGATGATATATCGTATTTAAAAGTGGAATACGGATAAAAATGTACATAATGCTGGTGTTGATTTATATAGTATTATTTTTTAACTTTTAAAAAATGAAAAAAAAATATGGCGTTTAATAAATGAAATGAATGAGAATACATAATATTAGTTTTGTATGTTACGATTTGATTTTTTGTTTGCTTAGTTTACTTCTTATTTATCCCGAAAATCTCATTTCTAAATTGTCATTTGTAGAAAATAAATAAAAATAAATGCATACTTACCAAAATTGTAAATAAAATATTTATGTAAATACGAATTCAGATTCGAAAGCGTTATTAGTTTTGTATGTTAAGATTTGATGGGAACAAGAAAACGAATAAATATAAATGCATACTTGCCAAAATTGTAAATAAAACATTTATGTAAGTACGAATTTAGATTCGAAAGCATTATTAGTTTTGTATGTTAATATTTGATGGGAAACAGGAAAATGAATAAATATAAATGCATGCTTACCAAAATTACAAATAAAATATTTATGTAAATACGAATTCAGATTTCAAAGCAATAATATTTATACAAATCAAATTAAGAAACACGTAATTTTGTCATGTCATCATCCGAAGTGTGCAAGTGTTTTACTTTAAACTCTAACACATTTTTAATTTAACCAGTTAAGCCAAGTTAATTATCTATTGTTTTATATAGTATAATATGTAGTTATATATTTCTTGTTATTAATTCTATATATAGTTTGTGCAATATTATTTGCTCCTTAATTAATGTAGATAAAATAAAGAAAAAAATAAATTATACTTTTGTTCAAAATTATAATACGAGTCAAAAAAACCCAAAAAAAAAAAGGGTCAAAACTAACGTGCTAGAGGACGACCAATACCGGACCACTAGTTCTTGACTGCGTTGAACGCTTTTTGACCAGTTATAATAATGTAGAGACTGGTTATCCGGTTCAAACAGTTGAACCGGCCGGTCAATTGGAGACCAGTTTTTTGTACTGTAGCTTAATGCACTGCTGTAGCTAGCTAGTGTGTAGGAATGGTGGCACGTGATTTTACCTCTGTTTCTAAAGCGTTTTACACGTGGGTTTTTTTTTAGTTGTGGATGAGGATTGACTGATGATAGGGGAGGCTGTGGAGCAATTGAAATATTGAATATTTTTCAGTTCTGGACATAAATAGAAAGGTTTTAATATATCAACGTCAACATCAATATACCCAATATATTTCTAATATGTTGGGGTCTGACGGGTCAGTTGTATGCAGACCTTACCCTTGTAATCATACGAGGAGGCTGTTTCCATAGCGACCCAAAGTGCTTGCGTCAGGGGCAGAGCCACCCTAAGGCTAGGGTGGGCTCCAGCCCCATGTAATATTTTGTTACCCTTATTTTTGCTAAACTTATTTTCTAAAAAAATTTATACATAGACTCATTAGCCCCATGTAATTTTTTATATAGGCCCATTTAATTTTTGGGCTGAATGACTCAAGATTATCTTCATGTTAAAATTTGTTATCTGACAACAATGGTGGAAAAATGATGATTATAGTGAGGAAAAAAAGATAATCCTTTATTATCAAATGACAATTGTAACCTTATTAGATTTTTATTAATTGAGTTTATAATGTGGCCCAACACACTCTTGTCTTTAAATTTTTAATGGGTTGATTGACAAATATCAAATGAGCTGGATAATTAAGTTTGACACAGACTTTTCCAGCGGGCTATTTAATTCGATCGTCTCATTCCACAGTCCGTTATCCATTTTCATTTATTTTTTTTCTTTCGCCTCCAATAATTAATTCGACATCATTTCCTAGACAAAGAGAAAACTCGTACAGAGTTGATTGCAAACATGTTCGACTTTATTTGTTTGATCGACAAGTTCAATTAGCTATTTGAGTTTGGCTTGTTTAAATATATAAGCGATTTGAGATTGAGTTTTTCCAATTCAAACCGACATATGTTAGCAGATAATTTGTTTATAATCATAACTAAAATCAGTTACAGGCCGAAATCGTCGATACCGGGCTGAGAGTTGGAGGAGCATGAACCGACGCGAACATATATACGGTTCGGTTCATTGAATTGTCGATTATTGGTCGTCCGGTTAATTAAAAAATACAAAATAATTAGAATAATATTTAAAAAAACGAACCTCGGGTTCCGGTTCCAGTTCGGAACCAAAACTGCATGTTCAAAATGTATAAACTATAAAGTATTGTACATGAACCGAACTGGTCAAAACTACGGGTTTGTTCAAGACCATGGTCAACGGGTCTGCTTGTGTCGGTTTGGGCCGAACCGACATGCTGGGTCGGCCCATGACCATGTCTACAAGGTTCCAATAATAGCTAGCAGCCCCAGGTTAAAAAAATTCCTGGCTACGCCCCTGGCTTGCGTCTTTGATATATTTTTTTCTAGAAACTTCACTAATAGAAGAAGTATTAGAATTTAATTGAGCCATTTTGATCTATTTCATTATTAGCACTATGCCAGGAGAATTGTCAACAATGACTCTTCCAGCTCCATATGCAATGGACATAAAGGTTTTAATATATATAATTTTAATTTAGTGTGGTGCTATTCAATTTATTTATTTATTTATATATATATATATATATATATAAACATTATTATCCCAAATTTTGGGGAAAATAAATTCAGTTTTTCAATTTTTTTTTTTAATTTTTTTATTGCTTTTCATCCATATAAACATTTCGTTCTCTTAGATGTTTCCAGGCCTAACATTTTAATTTTTAAGTTTATTTTATATTTTTAAGTATTTATTTTTTATTTTTTTTTCTATACCTCTCTTTTTTATATAATTCTTGAATATTATACTGAAAACACATCAATAGGATAATATGCACAGTTGTTTACCAAGATAAATTTACGTGAATAAAATAAATAAATGTTCATGCAGATGGGTTAGGCAAGATTTGTGATAAAGTGGCCAAACTACAAAATTGAATTGAAACACACACCCACACACCCACACACACATATATATATATATGAAAGCAAGAGAGTTAGTAAATGAGTTGACTCGAGTCGGGCATGACCATTTATCGAGACGAGTCAAGCTCAACTCCTTAAATTCAAAATTTGATAAACAAGCTCCAGCTCAGTTTGTTAACGAGCCACACAAACTAAACTCGAGCCTTAACAAACAAAAAGATTAGAAAATTACGTACATTCTATTTATCAAGTCTAACGAGAGTATTGATGAGTCGAGTCTAACTCAACTTGTTGACTAAATGAATCTTATTTTGCTCGTTTATCAAACTAATGGAACTAATTGAGCCAATGTTAGCTTACAAATAGCTCTTTTCGTCTAAACTTATTCTAATCCAGATATAATTATAATAATACTATTCAGTCTAATATAGGATAAATTAAAAGCAATAATTCAGATTGGAGTGAATGACTAGTTGATGAACAACCACTTAGCACTGTTGTACAAGAATCTTTATTTTAAATTTCTCACAAGAATATGATCAAACCTAACTTTGCGCAGCATGTAATTGACAAATTAATTTAAAAATAAAATATAGATCAATTACATTTGTGTTGCAAAAGTTGTACCTCACGAAAATATTTATTGAGCACTAGATACCATGACAATTTATAAAATGCTATGGTCCCGTTACGAAATCATTCTGTCGGGGTTTGTGAACGTTAGATCAACTATCTCCGACGATTACATGATGATCTAACAGTTACAAATCTCAACGGAATGATTACGTAACGGAACAGTAGCATTTCCCTATAACTCTCAATATTATACAATAATGTACAAAAATTTAATTGTTAATTAACAGTTAAGGACAACAGTTAAATTATTCACAATATATGGCCATATATTTCCATGTTGGGTGAACCTGATTAGGAAAAAATAACTAATTAATATTGTCATAATATATTGCATTGGTTACACCACACGAGAAATGTGAAGATGCATGCAACAACTATTGGAAAATGCAATTGTATATTTTTAGTTTTCAATTACACAGCTTATTTTAATGTGTGACTCGATATAATTAATCAGTTATATTTTTTATTTAATAAAAATGCATAATATTGAAAAATATAATTAATTTTTATAATACAATTAAATAAATACTCAGATCTACCCATTGTGCTCGTGCTTACATATGGTGTAACAACGAGTTAAAAACATAAAATTATTTTAAATTTAAATAATGGAGTTCTAGATAAATTATTTTAGATATAAATAGTTTTATAAATGCAATTTAAAAATTATATCTGTTGATAAATTGAGTGTAAACACTAAAACACTATCATTTTGAATAATTTTAAACAGTTATATCCAATTAAGTTCATTGTTATTTATGGCATATTTTTTTAATAATTTCATAATAGAATAAAATATTTTACATTTTCTATAATACAAATACTTATTTTTTAAATAATCATGTAGCACGCAAGTATCGTCCTAGTAGGCGGATGTACCTTAGCCTTAGGGGGGGCCATTGTCCCCCCAAACTTTTCATTTTGTTAATTAATATATATGTATGTATAATTATTCTAAGATTTTTAATTTTTTTAATATTTATATGCATACATACATATATATATTAAACATTTATAAATCATATTTAATTTATGCTCATTCCCATAATTATTACAAATTAGTGTATTGCTCTATTTACTAGTTAAATTCAACTACATCATATTTTGTAAGTATGACATTTCACAATATAACAATACATTTTTAATAGAAAAATATATTTGTCTAACAATTAGACAGCCTACCAATTATATGATTTTTGTTAATATGGAGCAAACTATCAATGAGTTTCGTAAATGTAAAGAATGTTGAGCATTTAAACTACCAAATTAAGAAGTTATGTATTTTGTAGTGCAACTCATTAATTAATTTATCCATTTTAAAATGTAAGTGTACGCCTATATATATGTCTGTGTGAGAGAAATACTATAAATTATATAGTTCCACTCGAAATGTTATCCGTGTCGAGTCAAGTTGAATACCTCATGTTTAATCTTGTGATAATTTAATAAATGAGTCGGATCAACTCGACTATTTAATAAAAAAAATATGAGCTCAAACTCGACTTGTGTAAACTTTTATATATTCGATTTGTTTAATAAAAATATTTGAATAGTCATTCTACCTCAACAAAATTTCACGAGTTGAACCTTTGGCCCCTCTCAAATTTTTTTCCTAGATCCGCCTGATCAGTTTTATCCAACACGTTATCGAATTTTTTTTTTCTTTTTTTTTTTTGGTTAACAAATCAACTATCTAACATAACTTTTTTTTTTTTTTTCGAAAACGTAATGCAATTCATGCGAAATACATGCTCAATTATAATTCAGATTCAAAACAATATTTTAAACTGATACAACATTATGTTATGTTGCTGCAGGGCCTAAGCCTGCTGAAAAGAATTGGTGGCAGAATTAAGAACCACTATATTGTCTGCTATGTGAAGTTCTACCGAACCAACGGACCAAACTACTCGATTGTGAAGCTCTATATAGATGAAATTGTAAGGCCTGTTAGATGAGGATGACATTGAGGATCAAGCTGCAAAGGCCTGTCTAGAAGAAATTGCCAGCGGGGCTATGAGCACAGATATACCAAGTACCTCTAAGGCAAATGCAGCCCGCGCTTTGAAATTCGGAGACGCCCTAGCAGCTTCATCCTCCAATCCTCCTGTGGACACCCAAGCGGTGCCTATGCAACTTGTAGCGATGTTGGTAGTGCAAGCACTTCGGCGTGCCCATCTAGCCCAGTGAAGAAGCCGCGCACCTAGGCATATCAATCGCGCCTTCGTCAGACTGTATATACTTTTGCTTATGCCGTGCTTTAGTCGCCTATTGATCTATGTTTCGTGCACGCCTATTACCTATCACTTTTGCATTGCGTTTCCGACTACTTTTGTGGACATTCTACCCTGCCTTTACAACTTAGACTACCATGGTGTTGAAGTTGTAGTAGAATGTCAAAGACTATCTTAGCCATTACTATAATATATTAGCCTCATTGCTAAAAAACTCGGTGTTTATAATCACATCTTCTAATTTTGAGAAGTATATTACTACTTAAAATAAAATTAGTAATAAGTTCAAGAGTATTACGTTAAACAAATGAAGTAGCAGTACATATGAAATCGTCACAACTATAAATAAAAAAAGACTAACTATTAAAAAAAACACTAACATGATATGGGATAGAAAGCGATGCAGTGTCACAGGTGCCGATACTTTCTAAACGAAAACAACATTTTTTGTTTCTGGGTTTACTTGCTGAATATCTTATCGTGTTGTGGAACTACTAAATTTACGATGGATTAATTTCAATCAATTTGAAGGTCAATTTATAAATACTATTAAAGTTATTATATGTATTCTTCATTTTTGGAGAATATTTTAGGTATTAAAAAAGAATATATATTGTTTCAAAATTACATACTAAACTAGGGCCGGTTGTGCATGCACAGCCTGAGGGCCTGTATATCAGTACAAAAATTATGTATAGCAACTTCTACAGGAGGTAGTGTCACGAAAATGCCAAGGTAGATCTACGCTGCAGATTGTTGCCGAGAGTCACAGATACTTTTGAAGGAGGCATGTTGCCGAGAGTGTCAGATACCTTTGAAGGAGGCCAATACCGGAAAACAGATCTACCAACAATGTCCTTTATAGGCAATGGACCCCTGAAGAAGGCAAAAATTTCCGGCTAAAAATCAGTTCCACTTGTGTTAATTCTTATATATATGCACAAGTTTGGTAACACAATTTTACGGTCATCAGAACAATAAGGTTGGGCAAAACAAAAAAACAAAGGGAAAAGAAAAAGAACAAGAAAAAGAAAAAAACAATGGAACGAGTATATATCTTGATGGGGGGAAAATATATGAACTCAACAGGCAACAGTTGGCGTTGTAAAATAGAAAGTTCTTGATGTATAAACGGACTGCAATTTATTGATTACCAGTTATGAGAATCGAAGCTTTTATTGCGGTTGTCTCCCAATACATACACATATCCTTCTGGTACAAGCTACAACAACACAAAAAAAATAAAAAAATAAAATAGTTATATGGACAAGGCACAAAACAAAAACAGCATGCCAAAAATACCAACCACTGGACCAATTTCATAATCAAGCGGTTCCCATATGAACTCCTCATCTTGTGGAATACCATTGACGAACAACTTCCCATCACGAACCTGCACCAGGCAACAACATTAGACCAGTTAGAGACGAGCAGACAGAAGCAAATAAAGTTTCCCACATCTAGATATACGTACCTCTACATAGTCACCAGCTTTAGCTACAACTCTTTTGATAAATACATCCGATGCACTATAACCAATTTTCTGCAGAGCAAGTGGAAAAATATAATACAATAACATATCAACTCCATGACTCAATGCGAATATCAGGGTAACCGTTCTGCCAGTAGTGAGAAGATGAAATTAATAAGCTACCTGAAGAATTGGTGGAGCCTTAAAAATCACAATGTCTAGAACTTCAGGATTCTTAAATATATAAGAAACCTGTTAAAAGCAGTGAAACAAACAAACGCGCCAAGAGTTAGATCGCATGGACTTCAATGAGATCTGCATCAATGTTATAGATATGCAATGCAATAGTGTATCTAGGCCTAAAAAATTACTTCCGGACATTAGTAAAAGTGAAGCCTGTTCGACATGCTTCTGTTGAGGCACTTATCTGGTTGCAACCATCTTATACCTCAATAAAACGAAAAAAAAAAAAAAAAACATGTTATTTCACATTTCCTTAAATATGTACAAAGTACTTGGTTTTGGTTTTGGTTCTTTCACATGCCACAATTCCAAAAGGCTTCCTGAAAAGCAGTAGTTTAGTAGCGTTGCCATAACCTTAATTATAGACAAGGTATTATGTAAATAAACATAAAATAGATAGACAATAGCACCAAAATTCGGTTACATTTCTATGGCAGAATCACCTTGATAAAATCTAGGATCTCATTCAGAACAAATATGAAATGTTTTGAAAACTCTTTCTACCACAGTAAATCACAGCTCCATGCCTTTGTTTCTTGGTATAAGGCCTTGTGCCAGCTACACTAAGAATTTATCAATCACCAAAATCATCCAATGACCATCCACCTAGAATTCTTGTTGTTCAAACTTTTCGTCCTTATATCTTAGGCAAAAGGGAATTAAATAAATAAATATAAAACAAAAAATCATACCTTCTCAGCAAGTATTCGATCGCCTACATCAAGTGTTGGGTACATAGAAGCAGAGGATATGGACCTCGGCTCAGCCAAAGTCGACTTAAAAAGGACACTAACACTTAAAGCAGTGAATGCAGCCTTAGCATCTTCAGAGCTGAAAGGCATATTCATCAATTTCATCAGCCAACTGTTACTGCCACTTCCATCCCTACTCTCCGGCAAAACATTCACACTGATACTACTGCTGCCATCCTTGGCCATGGCAAAGGCCTTAGGACCCTTACACTTATCACCACCAACACTAGCATTCGCAGTCTTAACATTTACTTTATGGTTGCTGCTGACAGTGGTGCTGGCGGTGGTGGTGGTGGAAGCAGTGGTATTGCTGAAGGCCTCTGCCGTGGTGCTGCTGCTTCTTCTAACAGAAGTCCCTCCTCTATCTATCTCCGTGCTCGTGGGTTCATTACAAGGTAACCACTTAGAACTCGACAAAAATGGGATCAAAGTTGATGCCTTGATCGGAGAAATTCCCAAAACAGTGGAGCTCGAGGAAGAACCCCCGACTGACTGGTGCACCAGGGAGAATAAACCTGTAACTACGGGCGATTGGCTACTCCCGCCGAGAATTTCACTGGCCAACGTCGAACATAAGGACGTGGCAGGATTTCGCCTGGAATTCGAATGATACAAATCCGAGTAATCAGAATCTGGCTTCTGAGAGGGGGTATGCTGGACGAATCGCGATCGGGCCGCGCACTCATTCAGGAATCGTGAGACGGCGCACTTACCCGATGCGGCGGACGAGGAGCAGGTCGAAGCGGCGGCGATGTTGGAGGCAACGGACGCCGAGAAGTTGACCGTGAATCGGATAGCCATGGCGGCGGAGTTAACAAAAGAACAAAAAGGAGAGAGTTTTTCAGGTTTTCAGAGATGAGAGAAAGAGAATGGGCTCTACGAAGCTAAAGCACCATACGGAGCTAATCGCGGAAATAAAGGTTGAATATCAGGGCCGAGGGGTGAAGCGTGAAGGTGGATCGGAAGGACAAATCCCTAGAGACGGCGGCCAAAGGGCGGCGTTCCTCCGGAGGACGCGGAGGGGGATTCGCCGTGCGGAGAAAAGTCGACTAGGTGACTTTTGCAATGAATTTGGGGTTTAATGAAACAAAAAATGTGGACAGAGCCTTCGCAGAAACTTCGTTTCGTTGAATTCATCAGACGTGGAGAGAGCCTTAAATATGTATGGTTATTCAATTTTATTTTTTCATAAATATTAGCATTTTATATTTTTCAATTAATATTTTTATATTATTGTTTGATTAAAAAAATAATATATACGTACATAAATATACTATGCAATTTAACAGTTATTAAAGTGTAATTCGTCCAATACTATAATGCACGGTGTAGGTCTGTATTGTGCATATCAGACCAACTGAACGCTTGTAGGAACCTATTTTTTTTTTGCCTGTATTGTGCATATCAGACCAACTGAACGCTTGTAGGAACCTATTTTTTTTTGCCAGTCCAGCACAACCGGCCTATATCCAATCGTTAAATTTAATCTTTTATGCGTAGAAAGTTTGTCCAACATTTAAATTATCATTTGCATTGTCTTGAATTTATCATTGACAGGTAAAAAAAAAGTACACAGTCGTTATGAATAATGTTTGAATTTTGCCGCCCAAAAAAAAAAAAAAATCAAACATGTGATAATTTGATAAATAATTTTACATTTCTTCATGCCTCTAACTTCCTTCACAAAATTTGATAAGGCTTTATAAACTAAAATTAGGACGTAAATTGAAAAAAAGTATATAAACATCTTGGTCGTCTAATTTCCACTATGTACTTCGTATTTAACCAAATAACGATACAAAGTTTTAGTTAGATTTATATAATTTGTGATTAGAATGATATAAATATTTTTGAAGACTCATTATAATGTACACTCATTATTTGAAGACTACGTTAAAGTGCACAGCGAGTGAAATCAGTACTCTCTTTCTTCATAGCCCAACAAGCAATGACAGTCGCACATTTCCCATTCATAATTTCAGATCAATGATTAATCAATCTCCTTCACCTCGATAACCCTAATTCCAATTTTATACCTCTCCAAATCGCACAAATAAGCTTCCAAATGCTCCCTATTTCGAACTCACCAGCGGATCTTATGATGAGAGGAGCCCGGAGACAGAGCTGCCCGCCCGTTGTTTGCAATTCTCAGCAGTCCATTTAATGGAGCTTCCAAATCGCCGTCGACCTCTCCGCCGCCTTCAGGTTTGTAATTTGGGGGAATACTCTGTACTCGGTAGATTTATTTTGTTACAGTTGTTTTTCTTATATGGGCTGTGATTGTGAAGCTTCAGTCTTCGTTCAGGTTCCTGTTCAGGTTCCTGATGGCGAATGTGACTTGGGGATAATGACTACTCTTCGAACTTCTAGAAATGAGGCATTGGTATCTGTGGTTGAGGTAAGAGTAAGCAATAGTTAGGCAATTCTGGTTGGTTTTAAATGAACCCTCAGTTTCTTACAATCTCCGTATGGATACAATTACGATATGATTTATGTCGGTGTGCATCTTCATTTTGAACATCTCATCATATTCTTAGTTTCATTGTTTTTTCTCATACATGTTTTCTCATTTACTGCTCGCTCGTGTCAGTCGAAGTAGGCCCGGAAAGGAAACTTATGTGTTGAGATATGAAAATGTGGGCCTATTTTGCGCAGGAAATGACAGCATTCCTAATATTCTGCCCATGCTGAGCTGTGAAATATCAGAGGTCCCTCGTCCTAAACAGCCAGCGTTTGCTGTCTTGCGAAGGTTAACCGGAACACGGCCCAATCATGAGAATCCTAGTGAATGTTCATTCTGCAATGATGTTACAGTTACGGTTCTTGATGGCCGGTAGAAATTTCTGAAACTCTGTTTTTCTCTCTCTTTGTTTTTGTTTGTTAGATCTGTTTTTAGCAACAGTTTCTGTTAGAAATATTAGAATATTAGGAACAGTGCCAAGTGACTGACTGTATATAGATTCTTGTTTTTTCTGTGGCCAAAAATAGGTATCACACTTATTCATTCTATGAATTATTGTTTAGCACGAAATTATGGATTCAACGATTGGATTAAATTGGAGTTATTGGGTTATTAGTCTGGGATTTATCTTTCTAGTCACAGGAATTCTTGCGGGCGCAGTATGGGCTAAATAAAGCGTGGATCCTATTAGCTTGGGACCTCAAAAGAAACTAGGGCCTTTATCACTTCGATCATATTCGTGATTTATTTACATATATAAAGTGGAAAGGCACAAATTCAGGAGTTGTGGCGTCTGTTTGTTGGATTTTTTATAATTTGGATATGCTGCTAACTATATAACGATTTTCAACGGATTTACGTAATTTTATACTCAAAAATGATTTTACAATATTAATATGCATTTTTGTTAAGCAAGTATGACTGTTGTTTCGTTAAGAAAGTATGTCTGTGTCTAATTAGTAAGTTGCTGATAGCAGGTTTTGTGACTTTTATGGACACATATTGATCTTTTCAACATCTTCCAGGATTCTTCTTTGAAAGTTCCACATCTCACCAAATAAAAGTATGATGACACCATTATTTGGAGCTTGTAATGGTAGTTACTTTTACCTGTAAAACACCACAGAAACCATGCTTCAATTCTCTTTCTTCCTCATAGCCTGTTGTCTCTCAACAACAATTGCCCTGCAAACAGACACCACAGGGGCAAATCAGTCAATCCACGACCCTGACTCCCTGATCTCCAACGGTCGGAAATTCAAACTCTGCTTCTTCTCCCCTCCAAACTCCGGCCACCGTTATGTCGGGGTCGCGTTCAACCTCCCGGTCGAGACAGTCATATGGGTCGCCAACCGAGACGCTCCCCTTCTCGACCCCAACGGGTGTCGGTCCACATCTCAACTGAGGGCAATCTCGTCATTTCCGACGGGCGTAGCCGCGTGGTGTGGTCGTCTGGCCTCCCGCCGGCGGGCTCGCGCTCACTGACCCTCCTCGACACCGGGAACCTCGTGTTACGAGACGACACAAACACCAACAACAGCACATACGCTTGGGAGAGTTTCGGACACCCCTCGGATTCTTTAGTCGAAAGAATGCGAATAGTCGTGGATTCGAGTCATTCGACTGCCGACAAGAGTAACATATTGCTGACATCATGGATGAGCCCGGATGACCCTGCCCTCGGGGACTTCACTTTTTCGATCGAGCATCCGGACATCCCTCAGATGTTCGTCAGGGAAAACGGGGAGCCGCGCTGGCGCAGCGGGTCGTGGGACGGCCATGTTGAGTCAAAAAAGGGCTAAGCCCTATTTCTTTGACAAATAATGATAGTTGAAGAAAAGTGCAGCCCCAATGTCTTGAATAATTGCAGCAGCTGAGTACACAATAATTGAAAGAAGGTGTACTATTTCTTCTATAAATAGCTGAGCAATTTGATGAACGACATAACAACAAAAGAAAACATAACAAGAGAGATAGAGAGAGAAAAAAAGTATAGAGAGTGTGTTCATACGGGCTTGTGTGAGTTGTAACATTCGGTTTATCCTCTTCTTCTAGTTCATTCTCCTGGCTTGGTTCGCCCCTAGACGTAGGATTTAATCCGAACTGGGTTAACAAATCTTTGTGTCTTTTATCGATTTCACATTGGTGTGTTATTATTATTCCATCTTATCCGACCTTATTTCCCAACAACTGGTATCAGAGCCAGGAGGTTGGAGATAAGATGGAGGGAAAGATTCCAGTCGAACGGTTCAATGGTTCCGATTTTGGATTCTGGCGAATGCAAATAGAGGCTTACCTGTACGGGAAGGACCTCTACGCACCTCTTGGGGAAAAGCCCGAGAAGATGAGCGATGATGAATGGAAGGTGCTCGATCGGAAGGCGATGAGCGCTATAATTCTTTCGCTTTCTCGGAACGTCGCCTACCATGTGAAGGGAGCAAAAAGCACGAAGGAGGTCTTGCAGACACTCGCCGACATGTATAAAAAACCATCAGCAATAAACAAGGTGATGCTGATGAAAAAGCTGTTCAAATTGCAAATGGAGGAGCGAAAGTGGCCGATCATCTCAATGATTTCAACCAACTCACGACGCAGTTGGCATCGGTGGATATTTCGTTTGATGATGAGGTGAAAGCCCTAATCTTGCTCTCATCATTGCCAGACAGTTGGGACGTGGTTGTTACTTCGGTGAGCACTTCTTCTGACAAGGAGAAGATGAAGTTCGACAACATAAGAGATATGATGTTGAACGAGGAGACCCGCAGAAATCAGGCAGGTGGGTCGTTTGGCTCAGCCCTACATACAGAGTCCAGAGGGAGACCCGAAACACGAGGGAAAATCCGTGGGAGGTCAAAATCCAACTGGAGGAATAAAGGCAAGAAAGAAATAGGTGTGTTGGAACTGCGAGAAGCCTGGGCATATGAAAAGCGAATGCCGGGCACCGAAGAAGGACAAAGAGGGTCGGACAGCCAATGCCGCGACGGAGGACACGGCAGATGCACTCTTGTTGAGTGTGAAAAGCTCGCTCGATGACTGGATTGTGGACTCAGGGGCCTCATTTCACTCTTGCAGTAGCAGAGACATCATGGAGTCATACACCGCTGGTGATTTTGGCATGGTATATCTTGCAGACAACAAATCCCTAAAAATTGTAGGGAAGGGAGATGTGCAGATCAAGTCAGCAAATGGGACCCTACGGGATGTGAGGCACATTCCAGGACTGAAGAGGAATCTCATCTCAGTTGGACAGCTGGACAATGACGGCTTCCACACAATGTTTGGAGACGGAAAGTGGAAGGTCAGCCGAGGAGCTATGACTTTGGCAAAAGGGCTGAAGTCAGGAACGCTTTACACGACGAGTGGATCCAGCTCAAACATTCTCCTGGCAGGAGCTGTCTCACAATCGCACTTGTGGCACAGTCGCTTGGGCCACATGAGCGAGAAAGGAATGAAGGTACTAAAGTCAAGAGGACTTTTGCCCGAGTTGGAGTCAGTGGACGTGGGTCTCTGCGAGCAATGCGTGTTTGGAAAGCAGAAGCGAGTGAGCTTCACGACCACCGGGAGAGCTCCAAAGACAGAAAAACTAGAGCTTGTGCACACTGACTTATGGGGGCCAGCACCGGTGACATCTCTTGGAGGATCGATGTAGTACATGACGTTCGTCGATGACTGCACAAGAAAGGTATGTGTGTACTTTCTGAAAAGAAAATC